AGGTTAATGTAAAGGAACAAACCAAGCTCTCCATTTTCATTAGCTGGAGGACAGCCTCACAGGGGAAGCCTTGTGACTTGAGGGGAAAGTAGAATACTTCAGATGGGAAGGCCCTATAATAAGATAGGTGAGGAAGGCCCTATAATAAGATAGGTGAATCCAGTCGAAGGACTTGGGTTTAGTTTCCTTATTTATGAAATGAACCTATCTCAGATGTGCAGTTGTGTGCTATGCAGGAGTTTGAGATTCGTCTGTGCTAAGATGAACTAAGTTGTTTTTTTTTTTTTTTAAAGTTTTTTACTTTTTAGCTATTTTGTTGGCATACAAAGTTTCATAATGGCCCTTTCTCTCTTTCTTCCTTTCCTTCCTTTTTTCTTTTCTTTTTTTTTTTTTTAAAGATATGGTTTCTTTGTGTAGTCCTGGCTGTCCTAGAACTCACTCTGTAGACCAGGCTGGCCTTGAACTCAAGAGATCTGCCTGTCTCTTCCTCCTGAGTGCTGGGATTAAGGCATGTGTCACCACCAAGGTAGCATTTTCATATATATGTATGTCATTATATTTGGTTCTTGTTCATTCCCTGAATCTTTTCTTTAATGAGCCTGCCTAATTTTTAGCTCTTCAACAATCTAGTTGATTCATGCCAGCGGCAATGATGTTTTATATATTTGAAATAAATAATAAAATTAGCAAATGATATCTTTTCCCAGATTTTCTTTTTCATTGGCGACACATTACGCATTAAAAGCCTGAGATACAGAGCTCACTTTGCTTCTCCTCGTGTGGCCGTTCCTGGGCAGCCTCTTTATCCTCATACACCGTCTCAGTTTTTTTCCTCCTTGTGCTTTGCCTTGAACAGGTGAGCCTGATTCTTGGTGAGAGTCTAGAGTTAACCTTCAGGACCTGCTTTTCTGACCACGTGCCATGCCACTCTACCATGACTTAGCAGTTGTTGTTAATGTTTCTCATTCTCATGTTCGTTTGCGCAGTGTGGTAATATTCTGGGGTCTTATGTCCTCTTCCTGCTTTCCTGGTGGAGTTAGATTCCTTAACTCGCCGTGCTTGTCTCTCACCATGTTCTCTTAACTGCTCGGATCCCACCATTCCCCTTTTTCTAGGCATTTTGAACTATTCGTACTATCATAGAGCCTGGTGTCTTACTTTCTGGCTCTTATTTTTCCAAGTACCTACTTTTCTGATTCATCTAGCCATACTCAGAGTGCCACTCTCTCTTTTCTTAGAGATTGCGTCCCATATGAGGCTATGGACCTGGAAGCAGTCCCCTTGGGCATTGCTGCTCAGATGTTCTTGTATGTTTTAAGTAGCCATCCCTCCTGGGGCACTGCCCACTTTGCTAATGGTATTTGTGTGGAGCCACGGGGCATAGTTCAGTTACACTGGTAGAATAATGCTGCCACAGATTGACCCTCAGTGGAGATGTAGGTGGGGGCAAGATACAATATCTTTATTTCCTCATTCCTTCATTGCTTACCATTTCTACCACAGGCATGACTGGACCGGGCCTTAGAAAAGGAAGATTGGAGTAAATAAAAATAGTTGGCATGTGCTATGGAAGGAGAGAAAACTGTTTTCTTCCCCATTTCTAGTGCTAGTACATGTTTAGTGCTTATTTCTTTATTTTATTATTTGACAGTTTCATAATTTCTACAACATGCTTGGTCATTTTTCTCTCCCCATTGCCCTATTCCATTTCCCTCTCTCTCTTGCTAAACTGCCTGCCTCTCTATCCTTCCTTCCTTCCTTCCTTCCTTCCTTCCTTCCTTCCTTCCTTCCTTCCTTCCTTCCTTCCTTCCTTCCTTCCTCTCCCCCTTCCTACTTCCCTCCCTTCCTCCTTCCTTCTTCCTTTCTTTTTTTCTTATGACTTAATAACTGTAAATGGAGGCTCTTGTTATTTCCTGGAGCAACAATACTAGAGAAAACGACCCCCCTCCCACCAGCATCCAGTAACTGCCAATAGCTTCTCAGGTGGCAGTGGGGTCTCCTGAGCGACTCCCCTGTTGCTGATGGAATTTTGATCTTGTGTAGTTCTTGTGCTGGTAACCATAGCTCCTGGGAGTCCATGAGTGCAGTAGGCCTGCCATGTTAAGAAGATAGTGTTTCATAGCACCCTTCCACATCCTCTGGCTCTTCCGTTTTTTCTACTCTCTTTTCTGTAATATTCCTCGAGCTTTGGAGGGGGACATTATAGAAACAATGTCTTGTTTAATGATAAACACTCAACAGTCAGTCTCAGCACTTTTATCAGTTATGAGTCTGTGCATTAATTAACTGTTGTCCACAGCAAACAGAATATTCCTAAGACTGATCGCGCATGAATCCATGGGTATAAACATAAATATTTGGAAGGCAGTTTGACACCATGTCTATTTAGCAAAACAGCAGTAGTAGCTGTTCCCTATACCTCAACCTCCCCACCCCACCCCCCTGCTCAGGGCCCATGACCTCCTAGCCATGGGCTTTTGACCATATTTGCAGTATTGGGCATGAATTCCCTTCAATAGACTGAGGTGTCAAATCTGAGAAAGTGGTTGGTTGGTTACCCCTACAACAGTCTTGTAACTGTTGCACCGGGAGCTGTATCTTACCTAGCAGTTCCCCTCTTACAGCTTGCAGGGTTCACAGCCGGCTGTGACTATTGATGTCTTTTCTCTCCCAGCAGCCTGCACATAACCTTCTGGCACCAGGAAAGCTAGCCAGCAGGGGGAACCTTCCATTTCAGTTCCTGAAGACACCACAGTCTTCAGGGATAGGGTCACTACTTGTGGTAGGCAATGAAGAACAAAGGTAATAGCTTGTATTCCTGTAGACACCCTTGGGGTCTCCTTCACTAACAACTCATCAGGAAGCAGCCCACGTCTGGCACCATGAGCTCTGGAAGCAGCATTGTCCATCTGTACAGGGTGCTTCCTTTTAAACTTTTTAGATGTTAGCTTGTAACGTTTTCACATGACCTTTTCATGCATCCTTAGTTTTTTGCTAACAATCCCTCTATACCCTCCGCTCTCCTGTCCCTTCAACCCTATCCCTGCTCAAATTATCCTGCCTCCAGTATTGCCCACCTCTGCTTCCTATCACATGCCTTCTACTGTCTCCCCACCCTGCTTCTTGCTCCCCAGCCTCTACTGTTACTCCCAACAATCAACTCTAAAAATCCTAAAGTAAGATCTGCCTATGAGAGACTCCGTGCTATCGGTCTTTCTGGGCTTCGGTTACCTCACTTGATAGACAATTTCCAGTTCCATTCAATAGAAAATCCATTTCTAAAATTCTATTTTTCCTTTCCTGAAGGGAAGGCACACGATAAATCAAATCCTTCAACCAGTGACTTCTTTTATGCCTTCCTTTCCCTTTCACCCGCTTGCCTGCGCCTCTGAGTGTCTCCTTCCACACTCTGTCTTTGGGAAACTATCTCCTAGGATTTATTTTCCTCGGTTGTCATGTCTGCCAGCTTGAAATTATTGTGCTGTTGCCTACCAGCACTGCCCATGATAGCCTTTGACACCACATCTTGCACTGTGGCCGAGCGTTTGCATGACTTGCCTTAGATGTTGACGTCTTTTGAGGCTCTCCTGCCAACGTGAATTTTACAAGTGCCTTTTGTTCTTCTGGGTGTTCACTGGGCAACTCTTGAATAAGACATCATATACCTCTCCCAAAGATCAACTTTAAATTTTTCACATAGTACAGTTTAAACCAGTAGTACAAAGAGAAATAGTTCCTTTAATGTCCCGAAGGAGTCTCATTATGAAGACAGAACTTGACTTTGCCATGCCGATACTAAGGATAATATTTCTCTGTTTCTACATGACTATTGTACTAGAATTGAACTCCCTTAGTTTTCTATTTGAGAGAAAGAGGTTCATGGCTATGTCATGAAGGTTCACTTTGAAAATAAAATCTAACTGCAGCTGTTAAATCATGGTTGTTTGCAAGGTTAGATTAAATTATTAAAGGGTTCCTATTGTCTAGCCTCCTTATTAATGGTGTAGGTTTAATTTTTTTCTTTTGCATAACTCATACCCCTTTTCCCTTTAATTGTCATATCCCTCCAAAAGCTTGTCAACATCATTTCATCAAGTGCCCTTTGGTGCTCTGACAACCTGGCATGTATCTACTGTAGCACTGCACCATAATGACGATTGACCTCTCTGTTTTCATAGCATATTGAACTCTGAGTAGTTTCCAGTATTTACTGAAAGATAAGTGAATATTGAAGCGGAATCTATCAGTTTAAAACCATTTCTCCTTTACCTCCACAAACCATAATGACTGCATATAAGATCTCGTAGATAGACAGTTTATTTCTAGTTACCAGCTAATGTTCAGCTTTGGGTTCAAGTTCAAATTTGAATTCTAAGGATGTTAATTAGGGAAAGAGGATTAGAGAGCTGCTGAGGCCCGGCTCTCTACCGTCCTCTCCTCCTGCTCTGGAGCTGCTGTGTGCTGCTCTGCTTGGGAAGTTAGGAGCTGAAACAAGAGGTTGTATTCAGCATCAGTCTCTTGTAGTCAGAAACGGCAGACTGTTGATCGACTGCTGCTTCTCCCATCACTAATTTAACTCTTCGTTTGTTTTGGCAACAGTAGTATCTTTTACTATACCTTCCCCTCCCAAGTTTCCAGTGTAGTTTCTATTTAAGAGGAAATAATAATTATTGAGGAGTGGAAAGGAGAAATTAGGCCCAGAAAGCATATTTCCCTTTCTACATATGTGTATTCATATGCAAGTACACAGGAGTTCATGAAATGCTAGCAAATTTATGTGTCATGGTTTATGTAAAGCTTCTGTGTAAGAGATTTTCAAAGTCAATGTGCACATTCAGATCTAAGCTGTCTGGCCCGCTGCTGCCCGTTTGGATATTTTATAACAGATTTTTTGAAGGGAACTAGTAGTTATAACCAAAGTATATTTCTTTGTATTAACAAAAATTAGTAAAATGCTTCTTCGTTCCAAGATTATCTATATTATTTGACTTCTTTTATAGAAATTTCAAGAAATTGCAGAGAAAAACATGGAAAAATTGAACCGTATTGAGAACTCACATGAACAACTGGTTCTTGAGAATTCACATTTCAAAAATGCATTGGCCAAGACTCAGAGGGAACAGACGTGCTTGCTGGCGGCATGTGCGCTGATGGCTGGAGCATTGTATCCCCTCTACAGCAGGTCATGTGCCTTATCCACACAGAGAGACTTTCTCCAGGAGCAAGTCAACAGCTTGGAATTGTTCAAACTGGAAATTAGAACTCTAGCCCAGGCATTGGCAGCAGTAGATGAGAAGAAACAAGAAGAAGCCAAACCAAAGAAAAAATCGTTCAAAGGACTGATTCGTGTGTTCCGGAAAGGTGCGATTGCCATTTTGGCAGCAAACAGACTCAAGATCTTGGGCCAATCCTGTGCCTCTCTTTTTACCTGGATGGAAAGCTGTAAAGAAGGCATAGGCGTGCTGGTGTATACGGGAGAGCCCAAAGACAAGCGCAAATTTCCAAGTAAGATAAACTGTGCTTAAAAAAATCTGAGTTATATGTAAGTGAAGTACAATGTATGTGTGGTTGGCTGTTATACCAAACCTTCAAAGAATTATGTAATACATCAAATCATGTAACAAAGTCCAGTTTATCTTCAGATGTATGTGTGTATAAATGCTTATTTTATAAAAATTAGCCTTGCTTTTTTTGTAAATTGGTATTAAGAAGCAAATATGTATAATTTCAGTATTGTGTAGCTTTATTATGTTTGAATCATCTTTTTTTTTTAACAGTATAGTGTGAGTTTATACATCAGTTTTTCAAATTGTGACAATCCAAAACAGACACTTAAAAATTATCAGAATAAGTTATCATGCTTTCAGTATAAAATCAGAATAAAATGATGACAGTTAAAAATATCTTGAAGAGTTGTTTAAAAATGAGGCAAATGTAAGTTTCCAGCTGACATTTCTTTTGTATGTTTTACTATTTTTGAGGAAATGGTAGATTTAGATGTTAACTTTTTAAAATTCGTGCCTGGGGATGAAGCCCAAGGCTAACTTGCAGGAAACAAGTGCTCTGCCATTGCACTCTCAACCCTGATGCAACTACTAAGAATCAGGCTGCTGTCATATAACCAAAAAGAAGGAGACGGCGTCTGTCCTTTCTGATGCTTGTTAGTTAGTGTTAGGTTAGTCAGATGCAACTAGATTCTCTGTACGAGGGAGCCGTAGGCAGACAGTCTGATTTCCCTAAGCACCGGAACACTGCTAGGAAATTTAAATGTGCACTTTAATAACTTACAGCCATTTCATAATGGGTACTTACGTTTCTGCAGAGCATCAAAGGGAGCAGTTACGTTGTTTACAAGCACTCACTTGGTTTACCAGTTCTGACCTTCTTGCTGGGATTGTCAGTTCTATGGTCGAGCTGCAAGACGTCATTAGTAAAACAGGTATGATCACTTTTGATGTCTGTGCAAAGTGCACTTAAAAACAAAAGCCTAGAAATTCCTTATTGTACAAATTTTAATCAGTTGTCTTGGAGGAAAATACATCTGTTTTTTTTTTTAGCCACAGAGAGATTGTTAAATTTGTATTTAATGACACAGTAAATGAAAGTAAATTTTGATGACAAACTTTGTCTTTATTTATAAAGGAAATTTTTGGCAAAAGTATCTACTCCATTCTTCCCCCTTTGTGATTTGTTTTTCCTATGAAAAGCAAACCATTAGTTTTCTTTTATTTATTTATTTTTTTAATTTTAAATTTTTAAATGTGTGTGGATGTTTTGCCTCCGTGTATATATCTATGCACCATGTGTGCCAGGAGGGCCCAGAACAGAGTGTTGGATCCTCTGGAGTACAGACAGTCGTGAGCCACCATGTGAATGCTGGGAATCGATCCAGGTTCCTTGGAAAGAGCAGCCAGTACTCTTAACCTCTTAGCAATGTTGTCAACCCAGAGTTTCCTTTTTTTTTTTAGACAGGGTTTCTCTGTGTAGCTTTGCGCCTTTCCTGGAACTCACTTGGTAGCCCAGGCTGGCCTCAACTCACAGAGATCCGCCTGGCTCTGCCTCCTGAGTGCTGGGATTAAAGGTGTGCGCCACCACTGCCCGGCGAGTTTCCTCTTTTTAAAGTAATGGAGACACTGTTACTTGGTTTTGGTCTTCTGGCCGTCAGTTTCAGAAGCTTGAGCAATAATAGCTGAGCCCGTGGGAAATGTCACATCTCATTTGGTGATATATGCATTTTTAAAATTTGTTTGTTTTCCCTGACTCAGGTTGTGTTTATTTATGTGCATGTGTGTGTTAGGAAGGTGTGATGATGACTGTTTTTTTCTGAGTCTTAAGAAATGTTGCCATGCTCTGGGTGAGCTGTACCGTAGTCATTATGATGCATTAGCAGTATCATTAGTGTGACTTGACCTGGTAAGACTTCCCTGCTTAGGGAAGTATAAGCACAGAGGGATGATAATGTGAGATATAATTTAAATTTTAAAGATAAGTCATTTCATTAAATGAGAATCATTTCATTAAAATTTCAAGTATCTAAACCTAGGCTCCTCTCTTAGGAAGCTTATGATTCTCAGATTATTTTTAAGTATGGCCACTGATGTTGGTAGTCCATGAGCATATTTAATATTTAGCCAAACATTAACAGGCTGGGTTTGAAGTAGAATTAAAATTAAAATTTTAATTACTTAAAAAGACTAAATTAAGACATAAATAAATATTACACACATATATAATTTTAGATAAATATAAAATAATAAGATTCCTTCAGGCTGTTTCAAATAAAATTAAATTAAGAATTTTGGTTTTATAGATTCAAAGCAAAAATGTAGATTTTTGAAAGAACATAATAATAGTGCTTGGATTCAGTGTAATAAATAGATGTGATAGCCATATTATTTTAAAATTAATTTTTAAAAGTTATTCAATGAGTTTCATTATGGCAATTTCATGTGTATATGAATTATACTTTGTTATTATTCCCCTCTCTGACTGTCTTTCCTAGCCTTTCCCACACCCTGTTTTGTTGCCCCCCCTTCTCAAATCCATATATAAGAGAAAAAACATGGTATTTGTCCATTTCCTGTAACTATTGTGATTTCATTTTTCTTTGCAGTTAAAAATAATTCCATTTTGTGTGTGTTCCACATTTTCTTTTTCTAGTCATCTGTTGATGGCTATCCAAGCTTGTTTAAATTCTTATCTATAGTGAACAGTAGCAGGAACAAAGATGTGTAAGTACCTCTGTGGTATAGCCTGTCACTCAGCAGTCCTATTTTTAGTTTGCTGAGAACCGCCACACTGAATTCCATAGTGATTGAATCAATTTCTAGTCCCAAAAACATGTAAGGCTCCTCTTTCCCCATGTCCTCTCTAGGATTTGTGGTAATCTGCTTTCTTAAAGATAGCCCCTGTGCTCTGGCTGAGATGGACTCTCAAATTGGTTTTAATTCACATTCCTTTGATGGCTAAAGATAATGAATACATTTTCTAGTACTTACATTTGTATTTCTACATTCGAGAACTGTCTATTGAGATCATCAATGCATTTATTGACTAGATACTTTTTTGGTGGTTAATTTTACAGTTCTTCATAATTCTAGATGTTAGCTCACTGTCTCTTTGTAATTGACACACCAATTCTATGAGCCGTCTACTCTGGTGATTATTTTCTTTGCTGAGCAGTAGCTTTTTATTTGTAAGTAATACAATTGATCAATTCTTAAAATTATTTCTTTTGCCACTGGGATACTTTTCAGAAAACCCTTCCTTTTGTTTAGATCTTGGAGTGTTTTTGCCAATATTTCCCTCTACTAGTTTCTAAGCTTCGGGTCTTACTTACATTAAATTTTTTGATACATATTTTTTTGTGCAAGGTAAAAGATAGGAATCTAGTTTTATTTTTCCACATGTGGCAATTCACTTTCCCCAGCACCATTTATTGAAGAGGCTGTGTTCTCTCCAATGTATGTTTTTGAAATATTGTAAAAAGTCAGGTGGCTAGGCCTACGTGGGTTTATATCTGGGTCTTCTGTTCCTTGATCTGTATGTCTGTTTCTATGTCTGTAGACAACTCTTAAAAGGTCTTATTAATAAAAAACCCAGAGCCAGATATCAGGGTTAAAACCTGAGAGATCAGAGGAATAGGAAAAGCCATAGCTAACCTCACTTCACCAATTCCACAGCTTCCAAAGAGACCTACTTCCTGTATACCCATGCTTATATGCCTTTCTGTTCTGCCAACTCATTTCCTCTCTCTGCCCAGCTACATCACTTCCTCTTTCAGCCCAGCTCTGTCACTTCCTGTCTGTCTGTACAGACCTCCAGATCTTTATGGTTAACTAGTGTTGGAATCTAAGACGTGTGCCACCACACCTGGCTCTGTTCCCAGTGTGGCCTTGAACTCACAGAGATCCAGACAGATCTGTGTCTCCCGAGTGATAGGATTAAAGATGTGTGCTACCACTGCCTGACGTCTATGTTTACTATAGTGCTGACTTTTTCCTCTGATCCTCAGATAAACTTTACTGGGGGACACAGATAAAATATCACCACACTTTATCAGCACCATGCTGTTTTGTTACTGGATCTCTGTAGTGTAGTAAGGGTTAGGTATTGCGTTGTCTCCAGTATTGCCTTTTCTCTTTAGAAGTGTTTTGGCTATTCTTGGTCTTCTGTGTTTCCATATAAAATTTAAAATTGTGTATTATAGAATATAACTGGACATTTGGTGCATTTTGCTTCCTGGCTTGCATGGCATAAACTGCTTTGCTCCACCAGGCCCTCCTTGCTATGATGTAATCACACTTTTGAAACTGAGATAAGCAAACCTTTCTTCACTTTAGTTGTTTCTGTCAGGTGTTTTCCTTATAGAGACAGGAAAGCTAGTGCAGGATAGTAGAAGAATTTCTCCAAATATAATGAGGGATTAATATATTTTTTATGCATTTTCAAGTGTATTAAAATAGAAACATCAGATATTTCACTAGAAAAAAGGAAACATTTTCAGACAGCTAAAGGTAAATGGTTTTCATGGAATAATGAGTGTAATAAATGTAATTAAAGTGTTGAAAGCTAATGTAGCCATGTTTATAATGAAATGCATATATTTAAGTTTTTGCATTTTAATTTTATTTTATGTGTATGGGTGTTTTGCCTGTGTGTATGTTTGTGTATCATGTGTGTGCAGTGCCTGTGAAAGCCATAAGAGGGTGTTGGACCCCTAAGTCTGGAGTTACAGACAATTGTGATCCCATTATGGACTTTGGGAATCAAACTTGGGACATCTGGAAGAGCAGTCAGTGTTTAGTTCTCAGCATCCATGTTGGGCAGCTCATAGCTCCAGTTCTGGGGGATCCAACGCTGGCTGTTTCTGGTCTCTATAGGCACTACACTCATGTGCGTACACTCACATGCAGACATACCTAGTTAGAAAGAAAATAAAATAAATCTTAAACCAAGAATTTACTGAGATAATACCATGGAACATCTTATTTAACACTCACCCTATAAGTGAGATTAAATTGTAGTTTTTCCCTTACCACCATGAGAATAGTGTAAACATTAATAAAAATATACCCACATATCTTTGTACACTTAAGATACAGATGATCAATTTTATAGTCTAAAATTGGTGGAGTTTACCATAACAGAGGGAGTGTTTTAGATGTAAATAAGACTTCTGATACCAGCCATGTGGTGCTGGAGAAATTATTTATTCTGTGCTGTGTGCCTGGTGCTGCAGGCCTGTATTATCAGTTTCAGAGGAGGTTAAAACAGGATAATCACAAATTCAAAGCTAGCCTTGACTACAGAGTGAGTTCAAGGCCAGCCTGGTCTACTTAGTGAGACTTTGAAAATAAAAAGTTAAAAAATTCTGTGTTTAAACTCAGTGGCTTCTACCATACATGGGGCCTTAGGTTCAATCCCCAGTATGACAAAAGACACACCCAGAAAAGAAAAGGAAATTGTGTTGGTTTCTTTATGTATAAAGTAGGGATGGTTGTATCACCTTGATCATAGAGTACTTTAGCAGACTGAGGAAATTTCTGAAGTACTTGAAATAGTCTTTATCTTCTTTTGGCTTTGCTTAGGAAAATATTTTATTCATTTTATTAGTGCATTAATAAATAATAGAGAAATGTATAGCAACTTACAGGAAGAATTTATTGGTTTAAAACTTCAAGGCAATTTGCAGGTTAGATACAGTTTTAACTCTAATTTTTAAAGATTTATTTTTTTTTATGTGTACGAATGTTTTGTCTGCATGTATGTAGGTACAACACGGGTGTGCTGGTGCCTCGGAAGTTAGAGGAGGGCTTCTTGGTCCCCTGGTGTTAGAGTTATTGTGAGCCACAGTGGGTGCTGGGAACAGAGGCCAGGTCTCTGCAGGAGCAGCAAGTACTGTTCACTGCTGAGTCATCTCTGCAGTTTTAGCACTTT